TAATCATGGTTTCTCAACTTCAGCCCTGTTGACATTTTGGGCTGGAATTTTCTTTGCTGGGAAGGACTGTTCTGTTCCTTGTAAGATGTTTAACAGCATCCCTTGCCTCTACCCACTAGATACCTGTGTCATCGCCCCAGTTGTGACAACCGTAAATGTCTCCAAACACTGCCAAACATACCCTGGGGGGAAGTCACCCCTGCTTGAGAACCACTCTGCTAAATAAATGTTCCCCTCTGTCTCTGCCAATGTTTAGAGTCAGCTAGGGATTTGCATGCCTATTTACTTTAAACATTTGCATTTAATTCTGTCCAATGCATTGTTATTGTGGATTTGACTGATTTTCCTTAATCAAGTGTCCGGATTATTGTAATTTTAAAAAATGGTATTTTTGACAAAGGGTTGTTAGTGGAGACTGGGGGAAAAATGGGCAGAATTTTCACAGAGAAAAGAAATTCTACACATGCAACAGTGATTCCTACAAAATATGTTCAAAATTAGGAAAAAAAAAAAGCTGAAAGGATTTAATAGAGAACATTTTGCTATTTTTTCTTATAGTGATTTTTTAGAATTTAGGTGTTAGAATGATTTCATATGTGCAGATGTATTTTCTTCCTTTGACTAAAACAAATGTTTATTCTTTTTCTTTCTCCAGTTTATATTCCTCATCACTGGCTGCTTAATTTCAGTGACTATTGTTCTAAAAGATAAATTCTAAGAGAAGAAATCTATCTGAGAAGCATATCCACCTACACACATAGATATATCAAATTGATCCTACTGCTTATAATTTAGAGATCAGTAACATTTTTGTTTTCATTTTCTCCCCGAAAAAGCACATTAACTTCACATAAATACATAGCATGAACCTTTAATTGTAAGGCAACTTCACATAATATGCATGAAATTGTTTCTAATATGATTCTGGCTTGATGTTATATTAAAATGTATTTGTTTTTAATATCCATAGAAACCAGAAGATTATTGACATGATTGGCATGTAAACAAAATATGTCATCAATTTAAAGTCATGGTAAAGCCTTTGGTATAAATGATGTGTTAAAGTAGAGTTCCTCATTTATAGCCAGAGTGTCAAGCTTGGATTTTGACACATTTCTTACTAGTTGTGTGACCTTTGGTATGCTAATTAACTTTTTCTTGCCCAGAGTAAATCTTCTGTAAAATGGAGCTATTTCATAAGACTATTTTTGAGTGATAAATCAGTTAATATATATAAGTATTTGACACATCAGAAGTACTGAATAAGTTTAGTGCTATTATTTATAATTATTGTAACTATTGCAATGTGAAGGATTTCTATCTTTGAGTCGTATCTTCAGGAAAAAAAAGTATGGGTTCTATAAATGTGAAAAGCATCAGTAACAGAAGTCTGGTCATAACAGTGTTAGAATTAACCCAAATTTATTCTGAACTTCCAAAATGGTACTTTATTTCTTTTCATCACTTTAATGCAAGTAAATATTATACAAAATGTGGAGAGTTTTAATGCAAAAAAGAAACCTGACCTAGTATGCACGTACCTAGAATTGAGTTATTTTATCTCTTTCCTCTTCTTTTTTTCTTCTAGAAAAAGCATGGGATCTAGGATCAGGGAAACTGTATTCCAAGTCTGGCTTTTCCTCTTATTAACCATAAAACCTAGAGTTAGTTTGTTAATTCTTTGAACCTCTCTTTCTTCCTGTGTAACATGGGACAGATGATAACACTTTTTACTACTGCTTACTTTCAAGCCTATGTCAATGTCACCTGGGCTCTGAAGACCTACCCTTGTCCATTCCTGGGCTGGAGCAATGTTGTCCTTTGTCCTCTAGTGTAGCAATTTTCCACAGCATTGGTTTATTTGAATCCCCCCCAGTAGATTGAGCATTATCAGCAAGTGCATCTGTCTTGGTCACATTTGCAACATTCACATTAGGGCATAGCCCAGGAGAAATCAGTCACAATAGCCATCTAACTTGGAGTCACTCCATTGCTAACTTTATTCTCATGATGCGGAGGATTATACTCTAGGTTATACTCTCTAATTCAAAGAGCCGTATTATATATAATCCTGAAAACGTGCCTGCTACATGGCTCCATATGACTAGAATCCTCCAAAGAATAAGGCAGGCAAGACAAGATTGTCTAGGTGTGGTTATCATACTATTTATCATTTTTTCCTCTTTGTGTGTTTTATGAATTGGAAAATGACAGGAATATAATATGTGAACATTGGGGATCCCATGAGGCTAAGTACCTCAGTTTTCAAGGGTTATGGGCTTTAGGCACATTGACAAAAAGATGCACTCATCTCCTTCCTGTTCATTCCATCTGGCCTAATAGCATGTTTGCCCTTTAGAAATGTAATTACACGGAGACTAATTAGTGGGCTATTGCAGTTATTAAGGTGACAGAAAAGACAAAAAGGGCTCTGACAGAGCCATAAAGATGAATATTGAGAGGCACTCTAAGAACCTTAGAAAACAAGAGTCAGTGAGCTTTGGGGACTTTACAAAACATGGAATTGTGAGAATGAGTGAAGTCAGGAGTGATAATCTGGTTTCTGATTTTACCAACTGGAGTGAATGATGGTGTTAATTATTAAGGAGGTCCTCCCCCTTATTTGTTTCATTTTTTATTCATTTTTGAGTGGGTGATATTGTTTTCTAATTTTGGATATGTTGATTTTGACATTCCAGTAAGCCCCTAGATTGACGTGGCTCAATCAGCTGTTGAAAACAGATCCACATGTCAGGAGAGAAATCATTAACTTTAGAGTTGACAGCAGCCAGCTTATACATGAGCCATATTTATGCATGATGTCATGCAGAGAAAGTATTTATCAAGAGGAAAGACAAAGGCAAACCCCTGTGGAACACCAACTTCTTTTAAAGGAGTATACGAATGAAGAGGCACTTTCTTCATTCTGCATGGGATGGTCTCAAGAATGGAAGAGTACTAGTAGTGACAAAACAAAATACTTTCAGGTCGGAAGATGAGCTCAGTCCTCTCAAGTATAGTTGCCTGCATGGTTCACATAACTGCACTATTTTGCGGGTTTGATAATTGATAGAAATTTGATATGACATTTCTGGAGAATTATGGGACTAGAACCTAAACTAGATTTAGGGGTAAATGGGCTGTGAGGCATTCGATATATGCACCATAGACCATTCTTACAGGAAATCTGACTTTGAAGGGAAGAAAATAATAAGCAGTCTTAGAGGTGGACGCAGTAATGGATAAACGTTGTAGGGGTATTTTCTTCTCTATGTGCTAAGAAGCACATAAACATTTTTGTATCCGCAAGAGAAAGGAAGGTGTAATGGGGAAAGAGATTGAAGATACTAGACAAAGAGAGGCTCACTGAAGGATTTGCATTCCTAAGGAAGCTAGAAAAAGCAGAATTAACTATCTGGATGGTATTACTCCTCTGGTGCCATTAGCCTTTTATCAAAGGAGAAGCACCTCTTTATCTGGATTTGAAAGGAAAGTGATAAAGACAATTGAGGTTGTAAATAAGTTTCAGAAATGATATAATGTATGTGAGCTTAGTTAATTAGACGGCATTATGTCAGTAACATTATAGTTATAAAGAATATTAAATCTTTTTGAAAAAAAGTGTTCTTTTTATCAGTTTTACCCACTTTTAAAGAACTGACCATTTTCACAAACACTTGATTACTGCAGAAAACTTTGTTCTTCCTTGTTCCCAGCATCTGAAATGTGCACTTAATAGCACAGCATGTCAACTTCACGATCAAGTTAATTGTTGCTCAGTGTCTTTATAGAAACGTACATTTATGTATATATGAAAGTGATCTTAATGTGCTTTGAGAATTCTTTGTTCTATTCAAATGACTTCTTAGCATGATTAGAACTACTGAGGTTGTTAATATATGCTGATGGCACAGGTGACTGTTCTTTAATTTCCAAATGCTTTTCTACAAATATTTTCTCAAGATGCCCATTATATAATAAGCTGAGTATTTTAAAATACTCAACAAAATAAGTTTTTATAAGTAGCCTTCTCTTTTCTCAGAGCGCCATTTTACCAGTCTTTCAAAGTCCTCAGAATCTACTGAGTTGAAACTGCAGTTTGAGGTGATAACAGAAGTATTCAGGCCCAATAGATGTGCCCAGTGTCTGTAAGATACTTACTAATTGCAAGAGAGTGGGGATACACAAAAAGCCCTTTGTGAGAGCTCTTTGAATTTAGTTCATTTCCCTGGCACCATATTTTCATAGACATGATTGTAATTGATTTTCATTTAGGTCAGGAGGGTGGGGTCTGCAATGGCTGTGATATTACATGTGGCTACAGCCTAAGGAGCCTCTTAGGAAGGACCGTATAAGTCTTAGGGTCTATAGAGAAAGGTGTGTTTCAGAAGAGTGAACTGAAATTTGCAGTGTTCTGAAATTCAAGCTTATTTGACTAACTGCAAATAGGAAGGAAATAGCATGTGGATATCCCTCAGTCTTTTTCTTTGTTCCTTTATGGCATTTAATTAAATTCTGACTCTTTTTACTGTTGACCCAGACTACCTCTTGTCTTTTGAGCAGTCATGAGCCAATATTTCCCAAGCAACATGACTAGTGAGAGAGGCATCTCATGTTTCCATATATTTATCACTGCCTTAGACGAGTTCCCTTTACAACGTGATGAGAAAATGTGCATGCTCTAAGAAGAAATCCAGGTGGCTGGTAATTCTAGTGGGAGAGAAAAGACAGCTAGAAAGGGGAAAGTTCAGTGGTGGTAAAAGCCTTTTGAAAATATTTGTTAATACTTTCTAATGCAGCATAAATGCTACTGATACCAAATCCAGTGTTTTCTCTCCTGAGGAATTATTTTCTTTTACTTAGAATTTATTTTTATAGTACCAGGGCAGCATTTTTATTTCACTGTTAACCATTCTTATTTTGAGCATATAAAATAAAAATTTGTGGTTTTATATATCGTAATACAGTCCTTTCTCCAAATTTCTGTTTTCCTCATGCAGAGGGTTACTTCTACAGGAGAACAGCAGGTTTGCAGAAGCATTGCATTATTATAAATTGGCCATCGGGAGCAGGCCTACCCTGGCTTGTAAGTAATATTCAAGATTTTTTTAAAAATTCCTCTTCCATCCATGAAAATTATCTTTGTGACCTAGTCTCATAGAAAAAACACTTGGTGCTCCTTTTTCTGAATACTTGCTTCTCAAATTATGGACCTCTAACTACTATATGTCTCTCAATTCCATCGCATTTTGATGTCCATTTATCATTTTAAAAAATAGTACAATAGCTAAAATGTTTACTCAGTTTTTAAGTTCAAAAATACTTGGAATTCCTTGAGGACAGACACTATGTTATGTTTCTCAGTGATACTTGCAATTCCCACTACCAATATTGATGGTATAAGTATTAGCCTATCAGTATTTATTTCTTTGTTTTCTATTAAAATCAGAAAGAATCCATAGAAAGTAATCTGAAGCAAAGATAACTTTATTTTATCCATAATGTGTACCATCTTCTCACTCTTCTGTTTTCCACTTTTTTCTCTCAGCTGCATATTTGAACACTGGTATTATTCTAATGAACCAAGGAAAAACTGAGGAAGCCCGTCGTACGTTCCTAAAGTGTTCTGAAATCCCGGATGAAAACCTAAAAGACCCTCATGCACACAAGAGCTCTGTTACCAGCTGTCTGTACAACATGGGAAAACTCTATCATGAGCAGGGACACTATGAGGTCTGGTCAAAACCCATATCCTTTTCCTTCTGCCTTGTTGTGATCCAAATCTCAATGTTTTTCTAACCTGCAATCTCTTTGGAGGGCTGCTGCTGTCCTTTGAGAAACTAATATGTGTTCACATTAAAAGGGTTTCGTGATTAAATTTGTTTGGGAAAAACATCTGCTAAATAAAAATTCACAGATTTTTGTCGCATGAGTTTCTCAGAGCAATTAATACGTCAGTATGTATTGCAACCACTCAAGAAAGGGAGATAACATGCATCGTTTCTCAAGCTTATTTGCTCACCATTTCTTTGACTTTAGGATCCAAGAAACAGTTTCTAGAATTGTTACCCTAACCCAGTATTTGACATTTTCTAAATATTCAATGGGGCTTCAAACAGTTCATTGTAAAATCCATGTTATCTTTTAATTCCATCATTCCACAAACTTTCTGAAGTACCCTTGTACTGTTCATACTCTGAGTTATTAAGAGAGTGATTTGATGTAAATCTTAGCTATTTCTCTTTTAAAAACTATAATGAAATAAAAACTAACTTTTTTATTTGGGGGAAAAGGAAAAGTGGTGTGACAGGATGTTGTATTGTAGGTTGGGAGGGGACCCAGGCTTGTCCTCCCTTTCTCTGACAGGAAGAGTCGATGTGTACCTCACTGCCCCTCTTTCCCTTTTCAAACTGTTCCCCCTGCCCACATACTCTTCCACATTGCATTAAGACTGCAATATAAAGGGCCAACCCCGTGGCGCACTCGGGAGAGTGTGGTGCTTGGGAGCGCAGCGACGCTCCTGCCTGGGTTCGGATCCTATATGGGAATAGCCGGTGCGTTCACTGGCTGACGTGAGATTAGACTACATGATCCCCAGGATTATTTTACACTTCTGTATTCTACGATTTGAAAATGATATGTGCTGTATGGCTTGAGCATACACAAAGAAGTCCCAAACTGAAAAATATACACCTGGCAAGAATACTCATGATCTCTTTTTGCCAAATGACAGAAAATTCAGAAATAGTTCAGTGATAGAATGGGGCACAAGTTGGTAAACAGAAAAAAAATTATTGGGAAAAGGTTAAAATATTCATTCCACATCTCTGGGAATCCTGCTTCCAGTTTGCCTGTGCAGCAGAAGAGTGATTTAATGTTCATATTAAAGAGGACAGCAGAGTACTTTTTAGTTTTGGGTTTTTTTTTTTCCCCAATCTGGTATAATTATTAAAAGGTAAAATCTAGCTTCATTAACTGTATGTTTGCCTTAAACTTTTATGAATTACAATAGTGCCTTTTAATAAGCAGCATTTTACCATCAATCTGTCTACGTGAATTAAATGTAGATGTGCTGAGGGCCTGCAGATTTATCAGTTGAATTAACTTTTTTGTATCAATGCAGGATGTTTTTCATGTCAAAGTAAATACTAAAAGGATAACTTTATCTTTGTTAAAGAGGCACAGTGGTTTTTGTTTATGATTTCATTCTTAACTCTGGTGCTTGGGAAGTCCTTATTCCCAATTTTCCTGTTTTCAAACAAAATGTCTTTCTTTAAATTAGAATAGGACTCTGAGACCCTTGGCAACAGACTGCACGTGGTATCTTTATTGTTAATGAGAAATGGTGGTGTTCACTACAGTTAGTGATTTCAGAAAATTCATTCAATTATTTTATGTAAATAAATTTGATTGAAAATTCAGCTGGCACCTTGGGGTCTCTCTTTCAAACGATTACACAGATTCTGAGCACACACAAGCAGCAAAAGATAAGTGTGTCCCTAGGGGTTATTGCTTAGTCCTTTGTTTGATTTTTTTCCATTATGGAAGGAGGTGGTCATTATGCCCAGACTCTGAAAAGCACTCTAACAATTTTCAAGCAGAAGATCCTAATATAATTTAAACTTCCAGATTTCTTCTATTATTTTAGTGGCTGCCTTCTGTTTAATTTTATGGGAAGGTCTGTCAGCTGATCAGGTTTTACAGTTTGAGAAACTATAATTTTCTCAGAGAGCAAGTTCACCTCCTAATCTAATGGGTTAAATCCCCAGAGTGTTTGCTTTAACCTCTAGTACATTTTGATTAGCCTCCATTTGACAAGGAAAAAAATGGCCCAAGAGATAAGCTGCCCTATCAGTACATCAGTTTCATTAGTCTGTCAGCATGTGCTGATTATCCTATCAAGTTTATCAACAGCCTTGAATGTGTTTTCTAATTCACACATTTACATATTATTCATGCCCTGTAGGGATCACTGATGGACTATGATGTCTGGCTAGATTTAGTCTGTGAATATTCACTTTCTTCATGTGTCATTCACTTACCTCTTCATAACCACTACCCACAAGCACTTGTACGTACAAATACAAACATTATATTTGTATTTTCTTTTATATTTCTATTTCTGTGCTCTGGAACTGCTGTATTTTCTCTTCAGGCCCATTTCCCCTTTTTTCTCAGCAACGACAGTAAAAAAAAAAAAAAAAAAAAAAAAAAAAAAAAAAAAAACATTTTATCATTAGCTCTATTAACCAAAAGTGAAATAGCATACTGTGTTAATGCCGATTAACTTAATTCCATTAACAGAGTGCACCCTCTGAATTAATATTGTCATAGTTAGGTTATAGTTTCTTCTTTTTCTGTCATGATTTATTTTTCCTCTAGTGTTAGTCAAAATTATTCTTTATTCTGACACCCATTACAGGCACTTACTGGATGTCAATTTTTCCTTTTTCTTTTCAAATTATAGGCGTATTTTAGAATCATAGAATGTCAGAGATGGAAGAGTCATATCTTAAAAACCTTCATAATATAATTTCTCTTATTTTACAAGATAGAAAATTAACACCTGAAGAATTGATTTGATCTGTTCAGAATTACACAGTTTGTATAAGAGTCACAAGTGTGGTTTCTTGGCTTAAATTCATATGGTTTTTCTACTTAGCCCTTCTGTGTTACCGAAACTGGCGCATTATTTATAATGCCAAACAGCTTTTCCTTACACATAAATAATCAGCAAAAAATAAAACATACAAAACCATCTTCATATAAAGAATAAAACAACCGCAAAAATTGTGGTTTTATCACAGGTGCATTAATTATACAGGATGTTAATTTTTTTTAAATGCACAATAATTTCTGAATACCCTCAGTATTTCTCTTTTCTCCATAATTGTTTATTTTCCTTATTATCTCTACTTAAACACTGCTTGTGAATAATCCTAAGGGATTATAGGAAACTAAATTAGGCTGTAGCTTCCAATTATTTTTATCAGTTTGAGCTCTTCCAATCCCAAAGGCCATTTTAAGCCTTTTCGCTATTTAAAATAAAAAACTCTGCCTTCTCAATGCAAAGTAATTGTTGGGTTTAATTAAACAAACGATTTAACCATTTCATCTTGATAATATGTCTTGAGAACAAAGGAGCGTAGTGTGTTGCATGGAGTAAGAGAGAACCTGGGGTACTGTCTTGTCATTGCAGTCTATAATCACTGTTGAGAATAACCTCTGTGTGTGGGGTGGGGGGAGGAATTTAAGCCACAAGATCTGAGTGGAGGCTACAGAGATGGTTATACGAAATGTAAATAGTCAATTTGATTCCTGCTCTCATAGAACTTGCTGGTATATTTCAGTTGGTCCACAGCTCTTCAGTGCCTCCCCTTAACATGTAAATGCTTATTAAAAAAGGGCAACTATTCCTCTTACCTTAAGAATATTGTCTATAACTATATAGGCTGTACTATGTTGACTGAACTAAACAAAACTAACAAGAAAAACTCAAGCTTTTAAAATTTCTAATGTGATACTAGTATTACAATTTGCATACGTGTTCATATCTTCCTCTTCTCTAAAAAAATGTGTTTATGATGGGTAACATATTTTTCATAGGGAGAGATTACATTCTTTTTTCAGGAAAATTGTGTGATAATGACCCATTTATTTTTATTGCTTCACTTGTACATCATACTGTTTTGATTCTCTTCTGATAATTCCTTGTTTTGTTCTGTTTTTGTTTTATATACATACCTATTACTTTTAAATTCCAGCTCACTGTTGGAAAATGTATTTTCCTCTATCAGCTTTCAGTCAATGAATCTTTTACTTACATAGATTTGAAATTGAGAAACCATTTTCTCCTTATACTCTCCCACAAGAAAGGGGAGAGTCTTTTGACTTAATTATTTTGACCTATAATTATGAGAGATTTTCCCAATTTCATTGGGCTATTCACAGAGCACAAGGAAAGAAGGAATGAATAGAAAACAGAATGAATTTATTAGAGCAGTATTTGATGCAGAAAGCTTGTGAAAATTTCAGAATTGTATTTTTCAGAAAGAAACTTGTAGAATGAAAGAGTTGTGTGTCATAAATGGTAACTAGTGATCTTTAGATTCTTTACTATTACTTAGGTACGAGGAATTAACAAACAAGGTTCCAAATGCACTTTCTGAAAAGAAATTTCAAAAATTCTCACTTGCAAATTTATCCTAATTCTACTTGAAGTATATTACGTTCCAAGTTCAGTTGGTAGAATGGATGTAGAAGCAGTCCATTTGTCTGTCAGCCTTCCGTATGGTGTTTTAGCTGAGTCATTTATTTTTGTTGGATTATTCTGTGTGTGTGTGTTTGTGTTTTCTCACCTTTTTCCAGAATATATTTAGAGTGGGGATATTCAGAGTAAATTTTTGACATGGTTTACATGCTTCATGTCTTCTTCTGTGACTAGTTGTTTTTAAGTGGATTGCTTAAGGTATTTAACATGCAGACTGTGAAAGAGATGGTTTTTAACTGTGTGAGATTTGAACTTCACATCTTTCAAGTGTGGAAGCATTAACACTCCAGTAGTGTTAAGCTTTTTACACCACCTGTTTCCCCTATTTTGAGTTCTGGTGATTTTCCTATGATTGCTTCTAGGGGAACTCATGAAAATCAGTGAGTCAGTTCTACAAATAGGAGTATGGCTGATTAACTGGATTAGCCATTAATCTACATAACTTCAAAAGGAATATTAACTTCTAATTTTTAGATGTCTATGTGTTCCACTTTCATTTTTCCATCATCAGAAAGGACAAAACCAGTAGATAAGTGCCAGGTGTATAGAGTTCACCAGTCTAGAAAGTCCAAACATAGATTTGGGTGATTTTAGAAGTTTACTTTGTAAGATACATAACCAACAAGATAAGAAAATCATGGACTTTTGTCTGTGTATCAAAATGAATGAATCTATAAAGTTATAAAAAAACTATAAATTTTATTTTAAAGGTTTATTTCTCATTATAAAACTGCAGTGGTTTAATTTTTTTTTTCTTTTTACTATTCATGCTTGATATGAATTCTGTACTACGTGCTATGCTTTCAGATGTTAATTTGTTAGGTATTAGCTACACACTACAAAGGCCAGCATCCAGTTCAGTTGTATTAAATAGGTAATATATTTTGTTTAAAGTTTCAATTAAACCCAGGCCCAGAAGATATATTGTCCCTGTGGGGAGTTTGAAGACTTTAATGCCAATAGTAAGGTTGCCTAAGGATCATGCTTAGGTCTAAATGTCACTTGCTTTCCTGGAAATATAATATGAGACAGTTGATTATATTTCATTGCTGTTAAAACCACATGAGCCCACCTGTTACATTAATTCATACACTTGCCAGTGGTAAAAGGAAAAGATTGAAGCTTAAAAAATTTATTTTTAAATTGAATTAAAAAGAAATGAATATATTCACATTAATACCTAATTAAATTCTTCTTTGTTTCTCAAATGGCATCAGTGTGTACTGCTTGAAAAAAAAATCTGTTTTCTGAGGCTTCAGTAGAAATAAACAAGAAAAACAGTATATGTAATAAACTTTTACTGGGCTATAGTCATGGAGTAAATCTTTTACTCAGTAGTAAATACTGTTGGATTGTATTTAGAAAAATAGGATAACATTGTTATACCTGGAACGTTCATTAACTAGATTTCAAAATTTTGCATACTAAAAGATGCCAACTTTGAAGTCATTTGGATGAAATGGACATAGTCATGTCATAGAAAATAATTTTGTGCAAAGGATACAATCCTGAAAATCAGTGTCAAGGAAATGAGAAGTGATGGTTGTACATATTTAGAATAGGAAATTTTAGGGTCAGAAAGGTGTGATACTTTTCTCACCCATCATCAGGCTTACAGGCATATGGGGCAGCACCTCTCTGGAATGAGGGGCTTCAAAGGAAAAGGGAGAGAGTGACCTTTCTAGATTTTAATGGCTTGCTTTAGGGGAGAGGAGGTCTAGTTTCTGTGACCCACCTTGAGGAAGAGAGATTTTGGTATCAGAAAGACCTTGCTTCTGAGGTTCTTCCAGTGTCTTTCATTTCAAAGAACATAGCATGCCAAAGTTCCATACTTTGGGGTATCGTGTTCTGAGCCCCAACACAGGTAATATAAATTAAGTTTAAAGTTAAATACATTACATATTGTATGTACTTTGCTGTGTAGTTATTTATGTTTGTTTTTCCTAATAGGTGGGGGAAAGTTGTTTTCTATATAAAAGTCTCATTTAACTCTGAGCTGTTAATTATTTTTAATTTTATCTACACTGATTGAAGCCATTGCCATATTCGAATTGAATGAAGAATGAAAATAGATCATACAAAATTTCGTTTTAGAATGCAGGTCGTTTTCTACAACATGTTAATTATGGGAATGGGATTTTGTGAGTTGTTGTAGAACCTTATTCTCAAGTATTCCTTAAAAATAGGATGAATCTTTATTCCTTAGTAATTAACATTATTATAGAAATTTACAGTATAAATAAATTATTCATTGCCTGTTATAGAGACGCATTACTTGATCCAGGTACACTCCTGAAATATATTCCTAAAAAGATCTGTAAAAGTGAAAATCCTTTCACTATATTCTTCTGACTCATTGGTTGCATACATATTTATGATTGTTATGTCTTCTTGATGCATCAGTCCTTTTATCATTATGTAGTGCCCCTCATTGTCTCTTTTTATGGTTTTTAGATTAAGGTCTATTTTGTCAGATATGAGAATAGCTACTCCATCTCGTTTTTCTTTTCTGTTTGCATGGTATATCTTTTTCCATCCTTTCACTCTTAGTCTATGTGTGTCTTTATGGGTGAGGTGGGTCTCTTGTAGGCAGCATATGGTTGGGTCTTCCTTTCTAATCCAGTAAACTGTGTCTTTTGATTGGGGAATTTAAACCTTTTACGTTAAGAGTTGTTATTGAAAGGTGTTGATTTGTTCCTAGCTTTTTATTGG